GGGGGCTGGAGTGTGCTTCAGATGTCTCCAGCCAACGAAGACACATCTGTCGCACAGTGATATAGTTCTGGGACGCCAGAACTACGTACCTGCCTTTTCAACTGTTGACAAGCTGTCCACTCTCGCTTTTTGTTTCCATGGTGTTTCATGATACCACCCCCAAACCTTTTCCACCGCGTTTCTGCAGCTGCACCGTGCGTTTAGTGATTTCTGCAGACTTCAAAACAGTTTGTTCAAACATCTACAAGTTTTGCGGACTCTTCACCTTACCGTTCTTCACCTTCCTTCCCACCGTGGCAATTGAGTTAACTGAAAACCAATGTCAGAGTGTGTGAGTGTGAATGTGAGTGCGGGGGAGAGTGAGTGTGAATGTGAGTGTGGGTGAGAGTGAGAGTGAGGGAGTGGGCATCTGAGAGGACAAAGTGCTGCGCCTGCCACGAAATCTGCACCTCGAGGTTCACAAAGTACTGCGCCTGCCACAAAATCTGCACTTCGAGCTTCACAAAGCGCTGCACTTGGAACGAAATCTACACTTCGAGGTTCACCACGTGCTGCACCTGCCACGAAATCTGCACTTCGAGGTTCACAAAGTGCATTCAAACACCCAGCTCACAGCACTCCAGAGATTCTGCGCAAAGGCGACCGTCCAAGCTGGCCTCCTCTCCATGTTTCATGTTTCTCCTTCTTTGCTTGCTCTAAACCAAGGAGGCTATACTGGGTCCATAAGCATGGTGGGTTTTGAACACTCATGGTTTCACCTCCCGTGATCACGCCTCATGCTTCACGCCCATGCAACACACCTCCATGAAAACACATGAACCAATGACAAAACCACGTTTAACATGCCATGAACACCTGAAGACATGAAAAGCGGTTCCAGGAAAACATGACAGTAAAGCACCATCCTAACCCGTGCAGTTCACAAAAGCGCAGAATGAACTTATTGACTATGCAATCACTGGTTCTCTGAGGTCTTGACCGCCCAAGCCACCCCTCTAGTTCACGCCCACACTCAAGCAAAACCCTACGAATCAACGCTAGGAAATGATTCTCGGGGTTGAGCCTTGCGCACGACTTTGAGGCATGTTGCCACCTGCTTGTGTCGAAAAGAAGCCTTCGTCGAGGTGGAACCGTTTTGTGACACTTTGGTATCAGACTTCGTCGCTCTCCCCCAAAGATGAAGAATGGTCCATGTGTTTGATTTCATGGCGAGCCCTTTTCTACACGGTTGCTGAGCGCGAGGTGCCCACCTTACAATCAGGCCATGGGTAACGGCCACTGCGGCCTTTGTTGGGCCAGGCCACCAAGCACTTCAAAGCGAGCGGCCTGTCCGCGCAAAGAATGCATTTTTTGCTTCGCCGTACACGACGCCGATCGACCGCCCAGCAATGGCACTAGTAGTATCTTAGGTCAGACAAGCGCTCATGTTGAACTTTCAACCAGCTGCTGCGCCCAACTCACCACATCCCTGTTCCGGCGCCAGTCGACCTCCGACAGCAACAGCTGTCCAAGGCGCTGGACAGGAGTGCGGTGGCTCGGTTAGCTACGCCGGACACCGACTGGCTGATGTTTGGGTGGCTGCATGACATTCTTGGAAGCCCGCGGCCTTTGACTTGCAGTCACTCTGGACTTCGGCAAGGTCTGGTCACCCGGAGCGCTGCTCACGGTGAGCTGGCTGCTGCCGAGTAACCAAGTACGAGGCCCGGATTTGCGCATACCACCAGACCCTTGCCACTTTGAGGGCCTACAGTTCATACCCCTGGTGGTGGAAGCGTGTGGTGCCGGTTGGGCCCTCGCGAAAGAGCTCGCCACAGCTGTTGCAGCACGGTCCAACATGAGAGTGCTGGGGTGGAGTGCGAGCAGCTTCTAAAAGCCTTTCAGAAGAAGAATTCCCACCCAGTGCTTTGACGGCTGGGCTAAGGCCCTTGCTTCCAGCGCTTAGCTTCGAGTACTCTGAATTTGCCAGTTGCGGGTCGCCTGACCGGGGCTCCTACCCCGCCTCCCTAGGCAACTTTTTGGCGGGCACCTGCTGGTCCCCTGTGATTTGTCCTTCTCCCTCGTCACCCGCGCCCTCCAAACTTGGGGTTGCGCCTATTGGCTTATGTCTCCCCCACACATGGGTAGACGGTACCGAGGAGGTACGAACCTGAGGGGCTTTGTTTGGGACAATCCATTGTTTTTGTATTCTGCGAATCCCTGTGGCTTTAGCTTAGTCGAGAAGACGTTAGATAACTTTTGATATCCTTAAAGAAGATACGAAGAATTACAGCGGCAGGTCTTTGCAATGGCAGCTCAATGGAGTTGTATTCTTTGGATATTTCAGTCTTTCACGAGAAACCAAAGAAGCGCCTGAATCGCTTGAAGTTGGCTCAATGTCATCAGCGCCGGTAAAACTCTGCGATGTGAAGGCTGGGAAGGCGGTTTAGGAAGCAACTGGCCCAGAAACGCCTGAACAACTTTGTTCGGCAACGCTGGCCCTTTTTTACGCCCAGACCCCTGCGCAACATATCAGCACAGACGTCCGTATGCACACAACATATCAACATATATCTCTATATGAATTTGTTGGCTCTTGTCCAAAGCCCTGCTTGCGTTGTCAATTCTAGTAGGTGCTTGTCAGACTGTCAGACACTGGCTGCGGAGGGAACAGGACCAAAACTAGGAATGAGACTGGTGAATTTGCTTCACAGCATGGTAGAGAAGAAAACATCTTTTCGTGGCGAACCTTGTGCCCATGTAAAGTATATTATACCAAATGCCGGATGGCCCCAGTGTAGACACGCAAGGGCAAGGCATTCTCGGAGGCCATTGTTTGGTATTAAAATTAGAAGCCTACCTGTACGGGCTTGTGTTTCATGAAGGTGACCCATTGCGCCACCTCGTGACTATTTTGATATTTTCTTTCTTTTATGTTAACTTGCTATTATTTCTGTCGTGGCGCAAAACCCAAGGTTGGAGGCTACGACTATGCCAGCAGAGAGTTGGCAGAAGCCAAGTGCCAGTCCGAGGGATATCAGGGGCTATGCAGCAAAGCTGAAGTGGAAGGCCAAGCTGCGTTCCAGACCGGCAAGACTCAAAGATTATTCCCCACCTGTCAGGTGAGGCTTGTTAGATTTTTATTTTTATGGATAGTCTTCTCCTCCTCCTCCGCTCCGGACCTCAACCGCAAGATCGCCGTGGGCAGCTACTGGACCTCGCAGTGGGCAGAACCGGACCTCAACTGCAAGCGCCAGAGTTCAGCGGGCAGCACCGGACCTCAACAGCAATCGCCACACCACAAACACAACCACAAACAGTCACACCCACAAGCACAACCACAAACACGACCACAAACATGCAATCACAAACACGCAATCGCAAGCACACAACCACAAACACAAACACAACACACAACCACAATCACGCACCCACAAACACAGAAACACAGCCACAACAATGACTTACGCACTCGTATTTAAAGACGATTTCCGCGTCGTGTTTCCGCAGATTCTCGGCTTAAGCTGGTGACGGGCGAGGTGCATGACTGGCGGACCTGCCGGTGTGCACTTTGCCTGACCTGCCAGCGTTGCTCCTCCTGGCGTGCAGCGAGTGGCTGGGAGAGGCATTCACTCACGTTTGCGTGAGTAAGCTGAGAGGAGTGTACCTAGAGCTCTTGGACGCGGCGGAGGCCACATCTAAGGAGGGAGTTCCCACTTTTAGCTCTCCCGCTTTCCAGAGGGAGAGAGGTTTGGAAGGGTCTGCCACCCCATCCAAGCCCATTGGTGTGAAGCAAGAGGACAAGATTGCCATCAAGCCAGAGGAAAACAAGAGTGAAGAGAAAGCTTCATCGCCATCTACCACACGCCCTGGGGGAGCAGCCGAAGTAGCTCCCGTTTTGCCCCGTGCCGAGGAGAGCCAGGACAAAGAAGAAGAAGAAGAAGAGATCGAGGTCGCACCGTCGTCGGACGAGATCATCGCCCAGAAGGTCAGAAAGGCGAGACGAAAGCCTGAGCCAGAGTCGGAAAAGGAGAAGGAGGTCGAGGAGAGAGGATAGAGAGAATACAGGGGCGGAACGGGCTAGATCAAGTGGGCGTTCCTGAACCAAAAACTCCGCCTCCCAAGCCAAGCCAGTTCGACAGCTGCTAGGCGAGCAGCAACCCCGTCCAAAGCTTCCCGGGACAACCAGGAGGGAGATAGGAAAGACAGGGACCGCGAGCTGCCCAGGAGGGTCCCGCGTGAACCAGACCATCCACACCCTCCATGCCATCGCGGGCGGTCCTCAGTTCGTGCCTTCCCCAAGACATCGATTCCGTGGGACCACCGAGTCAAAGGGAAAGACAAAGCGTGAGAGGAACGAAAAATTTCGCCTTTGTGCTGGGTACGACAGGGAGTACGACCGGACGCAATGGCGCCCAAGGCGTTCAGAAGACCTGCAAGCCACGCCAGAACAGCAGCGGCAGCCGCCAGAGGTCGCCTGGGCATTTGGAGGGGGCCAGCCACTTGAGAGGAGAGAGGCAGAGAGCCGTGGAGGGATGTGGAGGCCCATCCCAGAGTTGACGCTAGAGGAGATTGGAGGTTTGGACAAGATCATTGTCGAGGGCAGTTTTTGGGAAGCCCCCTGTCGGATTGCAGGCCTTGTGACAGGGGGAGACCGTCGGTTGAAAGTTCTGTTCACCGGCGCCCGAACGCTCAAGGCCGTAAATGGGAAGTATCAGGATATGGAGATACACCTTTGCAGTCCTTTGCGGACGACCTTGCGAGAGTCAGGTTTGGAGCAATGCCCTGATCCACGGAGAGCGTCTGATGGAACATGGGGAATGCGGGGAAGAATGGTGGACAAATCTCGAAGATGGTTGAGGACGAGAAGCGGGTTGAGGAGACGAAGGAGAGGTGCCTTTGAAAGACCTGTACTCCCGCACGGGAGTGGATCCACCCGGCGGTCTGGAGGACTATGATGAAGAACGCCCGGCGCATCTGAAAACGGGAGCGGTCGGGGGAGCGAGGAGGCAGAGAGCAGCTCATCCACATCGTCTTCGAGCATGATGGGGGAGCTGATAAGAAGCAGCGATCATTGCAGATATGGCGAAAGATTCCACGGACATGCGTCAACAACTGATGACGGCAGAAGGGCACATCAGTTCCGGAGCCGATGCAGCCTCCTGCCTGTAGCGTCCCAATACCGCCACTACTTGGATGGATTTGCTGTTGAGAGAGAGGCCGGCGCAGGCCCTCGACCTGGCATCGCAAAGGGTCAAGGCCATCGAGCAGACACTATCACTACCACAACCACCACCACCACGACGACGACTACTACTACTACTCCTACTCCTACTCCTACTCCTCCTACTACTACTACTACAACTACTACTAGTCCCACTACTACTACTACTACCACTACTACTACTACTACTACTAGTCCCACTACTTCTACTACTACTACTACTAGTCCCACTACTTCTACTACTACCACTACCACTACCACTACTACTACTACTACTACTACTACTACTAGTACTACTACTACTACTACTACTACTACTACTACTACTACTACTACTACTAACTACTACTGGTACTGCTGCTGCTACTACTGCTGCTACTACTACTACTACTAGGACCACGACTACGACTACTACTGCTACTACTAGCTGCTAACTACTACTAACTACTAACTACTACCTACTAACTACTACTAGTACTACTACTACTACAACTACTACAACTACTACTTATTACTACTACTACTT